GAAATATAAGGCGTTATATCATGAAAACTAGGATTCTGACTCAACAGCAGTAAACAGATGGAAATCGCATGTAGAATCTCACGCTCAGTCATTCATGTCGGCAAATTCGGATACAAAGTTAAGTAGTCGAATGTGAAATTTGGCGGAGTACCTAAACGTTATATCTCAGGATATGCCCTTCCACCACGAAAAGACTAGAAATCACCGTGGTGTGAAGGTTTGTGTGTCTCCGCGACCCATTGAGCTGCATTGGGAGGTGTCCTTGCGGCACTCACAGAGTCTTTCAGAACGAGTTGTTCAATGATTAGAGGTTCTGTAAAAATAGCAATGCTCCTGCCAAACACGGCTACCTTGCCAATGGGGTTTTCGGACAACGACTTTGGTCGAGGGACCTAATCGACCTCCTGTCTCGGTCTGAGTACCTTAACAGTATCCTGGTTCACTTACAATCATGAATTTCTCACATACAAATAGTATTTGCCACACTGGCTGCTTCGTAATATAATCAGCCGGGTCGCCTTTTCTCGGCGCATCAGCATATCGGGTAAGGAAAAAAAGCTACTGATGACGCCTACCTTCTTACTCTTTCACAGTCGTTTGTTTTACCTCCCCATCCCATTAACAACCCTATTTTTGTGGGCCGACCATTTACGACCGATGACCTATTTGGCCTACACTTGTTCTGCAAGCAACATCTGCGCGTTATCCGGCACTGAAATCTTCAGGCATCTCGAAATCAATTTTCAAGCATCGAAGCCCAGTCTATCTAGCCACCTTCAATGTCAGCACTCTGAAGCATGCACGTCAACAAGCCGCTCTTGCTCCCACACTGGGCTTCATTGGCATTAGTGTGTACTGTTTACCGGAAACAATATTTCAAGAGCTAACCAACCCATCACTCTCCACTCGCTTCAGGCTGTGCACCTCTGGCGATCTAGAGACCGCTGCGGGAGGATATGCAGGGTTTGGTGTTGTCTTAAGTCACCAGCGGATGGTTCTTTTCTCGACTGGGTACCCCTTGGTAGTCTTTTCTGTGCAATTCATCTCGAAGTATCTCTGTATTCGTCTCACAAGCAAAAGTCGATCGCCGAATTTTCGTCGTGTCCGCTGACGCGGACAACCAGCTAAAAGCTCAAATGTCGTTGTGGTTGCCGGATATCTGAATGCCCGGGCGGGAAAGCTTAACGCATCTGAGACTCAGTTAGTTGGTCGACATGGATTAGGCATGGAATATACGCACAATGGCGGGAGACTGTTTCAGCTATGTGCTGACCGCGGGCTGTTTTAATGCAATGTTGACGTCCGAAATAGCCAGAGTCGTCTGATCGCACGGTGTCCTATAATGGAGTGCCGGCCACAAACTTAAATCGACCACGGTAGCACGGATCACTAACGACTGTAACTTGCTTTGAAACACATTTGTGGATTTTGGCCAAGTACACCAGGCTCGCTGAAACACTGGATATCAGACTGAACAATGACACTGCTATAATCTCAAGGAGAGTTTCCCGCCGGTCCCGAACACAATATAGGCCGACAAATTATCAGACATTAAGTGAAAGTGAACGTGCGTCCCAACCACGAAGCCTGGTGGACTCTAAAAGCTAAGGAGATGAAGGCTTGCACGAAAATTACTCCTCTTGCATGCAACCAAACCCTGAAAACCGCCTGCGAGTGAAACTGTGGAGGATTAAATTGACGCGACTGCTCTTGCAGCCGTCCGCTGATACTCAAATGGATCCTACATTGGAACTCAGGCCTGTGAGCCTGAAAACCCTCAAGGCTTTAGAGTTCTATGACTGCATATTTTTGTCGGGCACCAACAAGTTCCCGGTCCAGCTTACCTCCACCGGCGTTGTTCAGAAATGGAGATGAAGTCCTTAGTGACCAACTGCCTAATCTGTTTGCTAGGATTTGGAAACCAGTGAGTGCCCTAGACACCTGAGGAAATAGTAAGCATGTTCCGCAATGAGTGTGGTAATCTCAGGGCATCAGCTTGTCCCCGGTCTTAACAGGACTTTTGGAGAAACTTGTCCTTGGAAAGCGCTGACTCGATAACCGCAAGTGGAATTCCTGCCTGGTAGGGATTGCGTTAACTAAATCTTCAAACTCACTCAGTTGCTGAGAGAGCGTCATACGTAAAGTCGACCCAAATTTTCAATATTCCTGGACTTCCAAGGCGCATTCAACTCAGTTGAGTGGCCTGTTTTAGTTAACAAACTTGCCATCAACGTATTCCCCGGAAGCTTATGAAAACAATAGGCACACTGTATCCTCAGACTTCCGCGTGTGCGATTATAGGGAGACCTTCCTTACAAATACTGATGTCTACCATGGCTATCGCTCTCTGCTCTCTTCTCTTTTATAATCGACAAGATAATGGGACAAACGCTTGAAAATCTTCAAAGCCCCGCCATTTGAATACCTGTCTACAATACTCTGTCCACACCAATTATGCAGACGACGTCGTTCATGTCTTCGAAGAGGAAAAGAAATTGCCGGTGTCCTTGGATAAGGTAACCAAAGTCACCCGTCTTTTGGTATGTACTTAGCACCCACAAAGTGCAATGTCATATTCCTGAACATGCAGTCAATGAACACGTCAGTCCAGGAGGGACAAAGTTGTGGAGCATTTTCCGTAACTTGAATGTAGTGTGGCGCATAAAGTCAGTGCACAAATTTCCGCTAAATTGAAACACCTATGGCGTCTAATCGGTGTATCGTTCAATCTCAGGGGGCGTGTGTATCAAGCTGCAGTGCGGGTGCCTTTTTTGTACGGCTGTTGGACTTCTCCTGTACGATCAGCGGAACTGAGACTTTAGAAGATGTTTGTTGTCGGTGTATCTCTAACGAGGCAGTTAAAAAAGTGTGTTCGGTTGTGCTACGTGTCTTCTATCAAAGAATGTGTCCAGTGCCGGAAGCGGCGTTGGTTAAGCCATGCACTGCCCCTGCCGAACCATGGTTTTCCGAAGATAGTTCTGTTTTTGGTTCTGTGGTGGAAGCAGAGAAGTGACCAACCTTTGGTTTGGATTAGTCATAAGAACGAGGTTATGTAAATCTGGAAGCTGCTGTTATGCGTCGACTTTCAGAATTGAAACCATGTGATCTTCACTTTAGCTTTTCTTCACAGTAAGGGTTTCAATCACATTATTGTTGTGTAGCAGCGAAATATCATTGTTGATTGCCGGAATTGCGTTGTCGATGATGACTTTTATACCACCGATATAACCTCCGGCTTTCACCAAGTAATCGAGTTTTTGTCGAGAACCTGCAGCTTCCAAACTTAGCTACACTTGATGGAATCGTTAATGCCTTATTGAATTCATAAATAAGAATTTTCTAGAAAATAAAAAACGACTAGAACGACAACTGATCCATCAGTGAATGGTTCAAATTACAAAAAGTCCGAAGTGTTCTGTTTGCTCACTGGAACAAGTAGGCCAAGGACAATTGGGCCTCACCTGCAAGCTTCATCGAATTGGTCGACGTAGCACATACGGGTGACAATACCACTCGTACTACACAGTACAATGATAGCTATACCCCTGAACAGGCAGCCACCACAGTTGGTAATCTGGTAATAAACGCAGGTTAAGAATTTGACACTCGAATTGGCGTACAGTGACCCTACTTCGTTGACTAGTCCAAAGAAAACTTGATCTTCACAACTATACTTTTAGCAGCCTATCCGTTCACGGTTTTTTCTAGCACTACCCTTACAGCAACTATAACACTGACCTCTTTGTATACAGCATAAGACAGTTGTTTTCAAGTTAGCACTACTATTCACTTCAGAGCTACATACCCTAGATGAAAACATGCAAATACCCAGGTTCCCCATTCGTAGGCCAACCATGCATCAAATACGCAGATGAAATGATCACTCAACTAGTTCCACCACACTGCAGGAAAATATGGTGCACCTATATTTGGAATGCGCCAGTTCCGTGTGCTCAAAGGAACTCTCTTAGAAGAGGTTCTTATTCCGGAGTGGAAGCTAATAAAGCTTAGAAAGAAAGATTTATGGAAGCACAATTTTTAACAATCTCCTTCCCCGGCTTACAAAGCACTATTATTTAGATGAAAAATGCAAACCCCCAGGTTCCCCATTCGTAGGCCAACCATGCATCAAATACGCAGATGAAATGATCACTCAACTAGTTCCACCACACTGCAGGAAAATATGGTGCACCTATATTTGGAATGCGCCAGTTCCGTGTGCTCAAAGGAACTCTCTTAGAAGAGGTTCTTATTCCGGAGTGGAAGCTAATAAAGCTTAGAAAGAAAGATTTATGGAAGCACAATTTTTAACAATCTCCTTCCCCGGCTTACAAAGCACTATTATTAGGTGTAAACGGTATCCATTCGTTCAGTTTCTGAAACCAATGGGTGAACCAAGTGAACCACCAGGGTTTGTTGGCCGGAGATTTATTTCTTAATGCCTCTAATTTCGATTAGTGAATCCCAAAACGAACGACAAACTCTTTCACAAACACCAAAAACTTCAATAAGGTTAGAAACCAAAGGGACTGAAGCACCGTTTAGTTTTTCAAGCATAACTTTCGCCCCCTTCAGATACACCTTGGTCATTGGAACACATCGTTTTTCTGCAATTTCCTGTCGTGAAATGAGATGAAATTTCTCTCTCGCTGTACTACCATACGGTATTGGGCTGAATACGGATCCTCCACCCGCTTCACTTGTATGCATGATCCAGCTGGTTTCTCACTTTGGTGTTTATTGAACAAACACGCATCAGGACATCAGTTGGATTAGCCGACTGGGTAAGGGTTATTTCTCTCTACATATATTTGAGGCCCACACCAACTCAGAATGTACACAGAAAGTTACATGCCCAAGGTGTGAAAAAGAGCAAGAAGTGGACTGTTTATTACTGATTTACTATGGAGTTTCTAAGGTATATATGTGTATAGCTTGGATGAAAATCGGTGAATAGTTGCCGCTCTCCTATACGTGTGTTCGTTCAATCCATTTATAAATCACTGCACCAATGGATAGACGGAATAGGCTGCAACAGCACACCTGTTTACCCCGCGTCGCAACCTCATATACCCATTCTCACCCCAATGATCGCCCCAACTGTTTTTGATCAGCCAGTAGGGCACTCCTCTTTCCTCGCCGTAGCCTACCAATAGCATCGCATGGTCGACTTCGCGTAAGGTTGTTCCGCACGCCGGGTCGTCGTAGATACCTGTGATCAAAGAAGACGGAATATAAGAATAGGTGTTAGTTTCACTTGGTCACGCAATCGTCCTTTTTGTGTGTAAATTTTTTTTCCACTGTGTCATTCATCAATGTACTATCTCTGAATACAGATTATTTGTCACTTTGATTAAATTTATCCTGTCACACTAATCCCTTTCATCTATGCTCGCTATATGGACTTGTCGCAGTTACGTTTTCGTTAGTTGAATCACTTGATTTTGAGCTATTACATTTGTGAATACCTACCGATAAGTAGGAGACGACGCAACCGATTGTTCACGAATGAATCCGCCGACTTAACCTATTCTCCCAGCTTACATACCTCCAGACAGTGGTCCACCACAGCCTGCGTATCAGTACGATCTGTACGGGAAAATGAATCAGTCTGTCTTACGTTTAGCAATCCGATATGGGTTCTACTGCAAATGTAGTTACTCAGAACTCATCCAGAGTTGGACACTGCTGGTGTCAAAATCAGGTAGCCTGGTAGAAGCTTTTATCCATGAAACTGAGTCTAAGTCAAATAGACATCCCCCCAAAGTTAGCTGCCCTTTAGCTAGTTTTGTTCTCTACCAGAGCGTTCCGCATAGTTGGGAAATTTGAGCATTCAAGGGAAACGACAGCATCGTATCTTTGGGTATACACTACCCAAAAGTAAGCTCCCATTTTACTTGTGTAACACATGAAGCCTGTTTTCAATGGTTTTGTGTCACTTCAGTTTTTCCACTTGTATAACGCACGTTGCTGAGCGGGATGCGTAGCATTTCAACCTCCTTATTGCTTATCATTGTAATTACACACACGGAAGGAGAAAACATCCTATTAAGATAACACTGAAGCCAAATGTCTAGTGTAATACTGCTCTTCCTCTGAAAAACTCAAATTTTCAGGACGGACAGAAGTCGTTCTCTGCCTCAAATTACACTCGTTTAGGGGGAAGAAGCGTTCAGACACGTGGTCACTAACTATTGCCTCACATTTTTGAAAGGTGCGGAAAGAAGACATGTAGATGTGGCTGAGCTGATTTGCTTGAAACAGTAGAGGGAAAATGGCTTTGCTTTTTCTCTCTAGTGGTTCGTAGCTGTCACATTGGAAGGCTGTATTCAAAAAGCTGTATTCAAAAGCTCATCTGTATGGACTGACTTCACTTACATGGTGGTTGGAATGTACATCTCTCTCTATAGCATCAAAAAGTATAAGTATCTGAGAATGACGGAAGAGCCACACGACGAGCGATCTTTCGGTTTGAAACGCTGTTACCTGGAGAACTGGGTAATTCCTGTGGATTCCGTGAGTGATCGATGAACGACGCAATATGCTGTATTAACGCCAGTAACCACAATGCTGATCAACAGAACTTGGCTGAACAATTCAGTCTTTAGCAATCAGTCTGGAGGTTACAGGTTCAAATCTCCCTAAAGGTTCGTGATATGCGAGCTATTCTTCAGAGTTTTCCTACAAAGACGGATTGGATTAACACTCTTGACTATTTCAGATCTCCTCACATCATTGGAAAGCTTTTATTTATACCGGCGTGGCGCTTATGGATCTGAGCATATGATGTATTCTTTGGTGTGCATTCAAACAGAAGACATCTCATCTATTCCTACCGACTGATATTACATTCCTAAGCAGAATTTTGTTTGATATTAGAAAGTTTTACTCGCTTTCGGATTAGAATCTGCACGTATCCTAAGTTAAAAATAAAAGCATTTGCTTACGAATAGCGTTACACTAAATGGGTGATATTTCCTCGGGTAAGCATAATATGGAATAAGGAAGAACAAAACTTTGTTATGGGATGGAATAGGCGCACCGTCATTGAGAGGTTGACAACAAGTGGCCCGTTTGATTATCGTCATGGAATATCAGTCACTGCGCCACCATAAACTGAACACACCTGAATGCTTTAAAAATTATAGTGTGCGTTTTAACAAAACACCCACTATTAACCACTCACAAAGTAATGGCCGTGTAAAAATGTTAACGGCAAGTTCCTTCAGTCAAACCACCGAATTGAACAAATGAACCGACATTAATAAATCTATCAGTAAACCACCATATGTATGTATTGGACACTGTTCTTATTAAATTCGCCGGGAGTGCACAGCAAACGTTGTGCTGAACACGAGGACGAGTTCTGCTTTTGGTCACGCAGCCAAACTCTTACGTACAACTACTAACAGCCTAAGACACCTGACCGACTCGACGGTGGCTTTGACTTGAAACAAGTAATTAATCGTGAAACAGGATTCAGGACATAGCCATGGAAAACCAAGATGACAACAATTTAATATACCATGCAACTAATTAAATACAAAGACAGTCGACTATCGTCGTTGTTCCAAATCATTACTGACTCACCATACTGGTAAGCTCTGAAGCTTACTGGAGTAGTGTCTACCGATAGCGTGACAGGACCGAAGAAACCAACTGCTTGGAGCAAGGCCTCCTCATCAAAAGATGGCAACATCACATGTCCCGAAACCAGGACCTTCCATTTTGTTCGATCAAACCTGCAAGTGGGATTTGGCTCGTTTGTCCTATCCGAAACGTAGGGATAGTCTTGATCAAGTTCAAGACCACCAGTTTCCTCCACATATCTAAAGGAATTAAGGGAACTTCCACCCTTGCAACCTCTGTTGTTATAGTCCCAACTGCAATCTACCAACTGCTGTGTAGACAACGTTACAAGCATTCTTTCTTGTATAAAATAGTGCCCTTCTATAGCACCTGCAGCGGCAAACGACCAACATGAACCACAAGTTCCTTGAAATCGGACTGGTGTGACAGCCCCTTTTGTGCGCCAGTCAATTGACTGTGGTGGGGGTAAAGCAATTCGCCTAAATTTAGCACCAGAATTGTCTGAAATGTTTATCAGTCCACCACAAATATGATCTTGCTCCTTAGAAAGCTACTCAAAATCAAAGAGGCAGTTTGATGTAATACGGCAAAATTTACCCAGTCACTGAATTGATTGATCCCGGTTTTGAATGTTACCCTACCTTCGTTGTAAGCTATGTTGTTTTCTCTAACCTGTAAAAATGACTGGCAAAAGGCATTCAGCCGCTCCAGTTGTTCCTCAGAATTGATGGAGTTTCGGTTGAACTCGGTTTTGAATTTCTCCCATGCAATATGTACGGTATAGTTCAAATGTTCGTTTAACGACTCGATGCAACTCAGCCTGTTTTTGGGAATAATATCGCTCCACTTTTTTGCCGTGAGAAGCACATCCCAGTCATAAACCTCATGAAATGTTCCGAAGGTATTTGACACTAGTAAAGTTAGTGTCACAAGCACAATCATTGTTAATTCATAAGCTTGAAAGATCTCTAATCTAATATGATTCTACGTAAACTGAATGAATGACAAGGAAGAAAACGGACTGTTTAAGTTAAATCAAAAGAGTTAAATATTCTTGGCAGGTGAAGCTTCAAATTATTTTATATCATTGATTTGACCTGGTTAGTATTCTTCGGCTGTCACAGGTCAGTCTATACAGAACATGTTATGAGGAAATAATATTTCACAATTCTATTAAAGGTATCTGCGTCGAAGTTCGTCCGTCCACCTTCAATAGAATGAATCTCTGTAAGTGCGATAGCTCATTTGTCTATAGTAGGTGATGTTGGTTCCATGTATGCCATTAATTATAAAATAGAGTAATATTCTGGGATCGTCTTCCAAATTTAGTCTTCGTTTCGGTTAGAAGACCAGTCGCATCCAATAGGTAGCGGATAAATGACATGCTTTCGGCTGTTTGATACAGCGCAAGTCGATGTCACAAGGAAGCTGCTTTTTCATCTATTATACAAAGCTAGTTGTGTGTGCTATTTCTGTAAGTCGGTATGCAGTCTGTCTTGTTGACATTCTATCCGGTGACATTTATAAAGCCGTGAACCACTTTTCGCATTTCGCTGCCACCTAATTACTGGAAACATAGTACTCAATGTATACCTTCTATAAAGAGGGGTAAAATTTTAAGACAGTGTGTCTCTTTCATCTAGTGAATAATACAACATAAAGGAATGTTTCTGGAATGTTGATAATGTGCTCTTATCTCTTCATCTATAATACCAACAACCCTCAGTTTTACATCACAAATGGGGTGAATATCAATGAAACGGTAAAATGAAGCCAATGTTATGGGGGGCCAAAGAGGTCCCGTTTTTTGAAGTCCAAGGAGGATCGAAAGCTTGGGCCAGGTTCTTTTGTGCGCACAGGCTAGGTGAATATTGATTGATCAACATAACCTCGCCGAAAGCCAACAATTTTGAATAGAAATCGCTCAGCTAAAGTCTGAAAACTGTATTGTGAATACGTTTGTGTTCAGTGACCATTGACGAGGCAGGTCTTCGGGCCTCTGCCTGCTGGCCATAGGTCAGTCGACCGACCACCAGAGTCGAACGACGAGGCAAATGTTCTGAGACGAGTTAGCATAGCCTATCTTTTCTGCCAATGTCTATTCCCCTGCAAATGCAACCGTAGTATTGCACAATACGTGAGCCAGGGAGATTAGCTGCAATACAGCAGTCGATTGTTTCGTTGATGAGAGCAAGGTTAGCCGAGCGGTTGAGAACATACCATTGATTTCAGCGCTTCGTTTTTGTCACTTGAATATGGTGAAGTGATTTGTCTTAAAAGGAAACCTAGCAAATCCCTTCTTTTCTGCTTCTTAGGCAAAATCTCGTTGTTTATTCTATAGGCCTGAATATCAATGGTGTTTCACTTGGTCTGCTGGAATCTCCATTCAGGGAAATTTAGTTGTGTTTTTGAAAAAAGTTCTTCAAAAAGTCGTAGAAAAAACTCGAGAGAATCCTTATATATCGTCTTCTCCACAAGTGACTACAACGCTATTGTAATCATCGACGGAATTTCCTCCTTACGTGATTTTTTGTAAGAACTTATCATGCTACTGGCCACGTATATTTTATTGGGCCTCGTCTTGCAAAAGTGTGTTTTGGCTTGAGGATCCATTACTATATTAAGCTGGCAGAAGACCGGCTAATACGTCTAACCCATCAGCCCTAGGTAGGGTGAAACCGGTACTGGGCTGTCTGAGAGTTCTCATGAGCTAAGAAAATGTAGTTATAGTCTTTCTACAGCTAATTACGGTCCATTTAAATCTGACTGCATTTCGTAGGACTTCGCGTCCCGAGGACACTTATGCAACATCTGAACTTCAGCTAGCCTGAGAAAAATCCGGCCCAACAAACTGTTACTGACTGACTGACACTGACGTCATTCACTTGACTCAGTGAACTGCTGACCCGGATTCCATCCATTCAGCCTCTATATTTCCTTCCTTTCCTCTTATCAAAGATTCGATACCCATAATCCTGATACAATCATATTCTACACTAAAAGCAGAAGGCGAACTTTAAGCAGTATGTAAGCTTTATATTTAGCACGAAAATCCCTATTTCAGCTCTGGTGGTCCAGAAAAAACCCAGGCAGATTGATTTAAAAATTCCATCGCAATGTTGTAAAACGATTGAATGAGATATGTTCATTTATCTCTTGTTAAACAAGAATAAAACAAGCTTCTCAAGAACCCCGCTTCATGTTGAAACTCAAAAATCTTCAGTAATTTATATTATCCGAAAAGCCGGCTGTTGTTTGGTAACAAATGGCTACGATATACAATTCATGTAGGTTAAGCATAACTACCTTTCTTGCCGACTTTTCTTGGGATCATTTAAATTAAGCCTCTCCCTCACTATATGTACCTACACAAAGCAAGCACGCTGTTGTGGAGGCCAGGTTCTATGTACCACCCTCAAGCTCAAACCATACGTAGAAATTTTCAAGGCTGTGCTATTTTGATGGTGATGGACGACTATTTACTCACCTGGAAACGTTTCGCAGCAAAACAATGCCTTGTATCTCCAATATTTTTGCGCTATCACTTTCGGACAATTGTGGTTTGGCGTCGTACCAAGGAAGGATGGAAATACTACATAGTCTAATAGTTGTAAGTGACAAACTGAACAGGATTCTACTTGTTTGAACGGACAATGCAGAACTAAGTGGTTCTTAACTTTGTAAAATCAGGGCAAACCGGTCAAATGCGACTTTCTTCAAAGGGAATGGTTAGGAGATTTTTCAAACGAAAAAACTCCATTGCCGCTTGATCAAAATGGTTCAACATCTCAAAAACCTCAGAAGTTTGTTTGAAGCCTGCGTTGAGTAGATCATGGCGTTCTTATCAGTTTACTTCGCGTGTCACATTTGCAAAGACCCAAACTGCGCCATCTAACCTGGATATACGGTCTATACTAGAGGGCTCCTCTCCACCATCCTATACCGTCGTGGCGAGATCTAATTGTCTCCGCAGAGATGAGCCAGCTAACGCATTTGCCAAGTCCTTACTTGAGAGCAGACCCCACGAAAGTATCAGCCGTCACTGTTTAACATGCCAAAACGGAATTAGGTGATGAATCTCCCCACCGATTCGTTAGTTTCGCGTTGCTGATGATCACCAACAAGATCGAAGTAGCTGTTCAAATCTTGTTCGTATTCAAGCACAGAACAACTTCTTTAGCAAGATGAAACTCATCCAAACGTTTTCACTTTCACCTAACACTTTCCCCAACAAAGCAGATACTTAGAATAAAAAATCCCACAAATATTTCCCTCTAACAGGCCACTTGTCTAGGAGTCAGACAACCCAAAATGACAGTTTCTGACAGAGGATCCTCCACATTTTAGCACCGATAAAAATTTTGGCTTCATTCGCTATTATTTTTTGCGCTAAAACGATCTTCCCTGAATGTTTACTAGTTATCCTTAAATTTCTGTCGACGGTTAAGACAGTGTGTTGGACCTCATTGTAATCCTAAGATGGCCATGTGACATGCTACCCCCAAGTGCTGCTTGAACTAACTCCGATCTCTGACAGGATCCAACTAGAAATAGATTCATACAACTAGTTGGAACTTCAGATAATCGCCTGTTGACATTCTCTGCCAGACTGAACCTTCTACCACATCTGAGGTGGTGGGAGTTCGCGGTATGGTCTACTTGTCTAACGAGTGTGATATAATTCCTGAGTCAGAATTTGTTGACTTCACTGTTTTTCTTGTATGGCTTATTCAAAGGGTTTTTCTAATCCGTCTGACGGACTGCCTTCCTGGTGAGTTGGAACAACAACAATGTAGCTGGGATATCTGCTATCGTGTTATTCATAGTGCTCATCGGTCTAAGCCTTGTCACACACCCACATCTTCGGTCGATTTGGGTTTTGTTTTCTCTTCTGCATTTGACAGCTTGGTCATTCAGTGGCATACAAAACCGTACGGTCGCTTCAACGCGAATCTGATCCGGTCCAAAATGGACTCACTTGGTTCACTTGAATTGTATCCACCGTCGTTACAAAAGTTGGGATTCAAAACGGGATGCTCAACCATCGCAGTTCAAAACTTACATCACAATAAGCCGCTTAAGCGAATTACCGTAGAGGTTCACGATGACTGGGTGAGAGGGCAAAGGCACTTCCAAATATTTTGATATTTTGATGGCCCCGAGGATATCGCTTAGTTCATCAGAAATTAAGAACACTGCTGCACACTAACTGGATTTCCCTGAAAGAAAATGATCACATTTTGAAATAAATGCTTTGTTCAGGTTACTACTTATTGTCCGACCATTAATTCAGTGGGTCGCAGGTTTGCTAGTCTTTGCTAACATAAAAGTGACTGGGGCTTATGTGTAAAAATCTTCTTGTCAAGTAGCATCAGACAGCTAAATAGGGATGTCACCTCTCTCACGCACTTGTTATGTCGACCGAGGCCACACTAGTTGATTCAGCAAGTACGATCAATTGAGAATGTATGGGTACTGACTAGCCAATAGTGAAAAACCGGAGTTTTTCTCAGACCCTGATCACAGTCTTTGGCCGGTACTACGACGCGTACTTGATAGTAGTGCCATGGCAATTTAATGGAACAAGAGCCGTTTAACGAGGGTATAGTGATAAGAGGGTTCCACATGGGACCCTCATGGAATTCCCATGCATGAACATATTGTGTGAAGTGCCCAAAGATTTGATAGGTCAACCCGGACACATCGTGGGTTAGACTACCATGTAGTGAACACTTTCGCATGGCACACAATAAGCAATTTGGGTGGGTCAATGGCATATTTTTACTAAAGACACCGATTACGAAAAGATCAATCTCAAGAAAAACGATAAGACCTTTCAGTAGAATTTATTGCATTGGCGAAGCGGCGGAATTCGGGTTTTTCAGATGTGCATTTCAGGAACAAACGACATTGAATGTCAGCCCCGTCACAGAAAATGAATTTAGCAAAAGCAAAATGAGAGAAGAGTCACACAAATGCACGTTTCTGTTACATCACAGGATAACTGGAAATAATACCTATACCACACATACGCACTCCTTTCCTCATGCGCATATAACCGCCTTCTCCCCAATTGTTGCCCCAGCTGTTTTTAATGATCCAGTACGGCACACCATTTTCCTCCGCGTAACCGACTACAACCATTACATGGTTCAATTGCCACCTTTGATTCCCACACGAGCGACTGTTGTAAATGCCTAGGTGCGTAGAAATAAGGAAACACAAGAAATGTAACAGCGTGTTTCGAAAATGGGAGTACATTATCCCCTTCATGCTTGATAACTATGAATCTAGTGTCTACAGCATCACTCACCATCACGTGTGATCTTTTGATGATCATCCAAAGGGTGGTATACCCTGAAAAAAGACCAGCTCACTCTTCCTGCGCAGATCAGTTTTGGGAATCAGCGGATTTATCCTTGCTTTGATATCATTAAGAGGATTCTTTCTTCGGTAGTTGATGAACTATAAAAAAGGCTTCTCGGTAAATAAAGTTAATAAACAGATGATTTAGAGTTATGAGGATTATTTTAGATTTGCACTCAGAGTCTGATATTTTGACAGTAGGATGTGAAAATTGAATTGGCCATTAAGTCAATGTTGATAAACAGCATAATCGAGATGAACGAGGTCAGGTTTGACGGACATCGAAAAGTATTCAGTTCAGGTTATCAACTGAAATATAGAGGAAGGGGCAACCGCTTGTCTCAGATAGCAATTTTCGGATAAATTCAAACGGAATACTTGTTAGATAGGTACTTTCCTGACCACAAAAATACAATTCAGGAGTGGAGATTTTGAGCTGCATGCGTGAAAAGCATAGGGGAAAACTGTTTAGTTTTTATCAGATTATATGTGATACTACCTTTAAGTTCGTTCATTAAATGAAAGCTCTAAATGCGTCATACTACAATACGACACCCTCCTTCTCAGTATTATGTTATTCTCTGTTACAAGTGTTGCGCATGAACTGGCGTAATGTGCATGTGTTTTCGACACATGCACATTACATCGCTGAGTTACTGCGCTCATGACAGTGGACATTTGAATCGCAAGAGAGTGAGTAACTAAGACCAGGACGATTACGCATTCAATGCAGTCTCTGTAGGTCTCTTTTCGGCAACCCATGGTATAACCTTACAATTGAACTGCGGTGAATGTGGCTCAGTACTAGAAAGGTAGTAGCGAATTCCCAATGGATGATTTGCCTGATCATTTTGGATTCACAAGGCTTTTAAGGTATCAGTTTGAGCAAACGGAACAGTGGAGAGCACAAACTTCACTTCCAAGCAAATAACATACAACATGTGTTTGAGTAATTGGGTGCGAAAGGTGGAGTTTAAACTCGGGCATCATGAGCATGACATGAGCACTTAAAATGCAATTTCTTGAACAGATTGCATACTTTCGATTATGGCGAATTTCGACGTATAAGCGCAAGGAAAGTTGGGAAAATCCCGTTCACTTTAGGGATGGGAAAGAACTTTTCCAAGAACTACGAAACCTCCATTTTGATGGCAAACCTTGTACATTCAAAATCCTTGGAAATTTTCGGAAAGCACATGGTGGGCGTTAAGCCTAATGTGACACATTCTACAAAAGATGGATACATAAAGTATGTTCTTCCTAAACTTGACAAACAAGAAGTTTAGCAAAGTTTCAATAGATAATTTACAATTTAGAGGCATTTTCGTGTGTTCCAACTGGCAATCTTGTTTTACACAGTGAAAGTGTTTAGTTGGAATGCAAGGGCCGAAATTGACATCGTAGTTTGCATACATTTGTAGTCTTCGACACCAATGCATCGCTAAACTTCGACGCAACGCTAATTTACTATTCACTGGTGATATCACCTGGAGTGGCAACCAACTTGGCAAGGCTAGTAAATAGAAAAACAGCAAACCCTACTATCCAAGCCACAGCAGTTCCTTCGGAACTTGCTGATTTAAACTATCACTGAGACCAAACTGCGAAATTATCAGAGAGAGATGCCTCCGAAACCTGAGATTTGTTCAGTGTTCATGATGTAAGTCTCCACTACCAGATAGCGATTCGAATGAAAAAAATCAGGTTGCCAATAATTAGTTTGAAGTGGAAGATTCAGTAGTCCAAGTACGCTTCGCAATTTCGACCAAATTTATCATTTATTAGAGGTTTTCTAGAGGCCGTAGCATTTGTCACATAAAACATTTCCGGCACTAATTACTTCATCATGTTTGTGGGCTTCGTGAACCCATTAAACGAATGGGGTGAGAAGGCTCAGTAGGTAAGGCACGAATTTACTGACCGGAAGGTATATTGTTTAAAACCCGACCTCTGAATTGCGATTTCCTCTGTCTAGGCTTGGGCAACCTGGCAGGATTTCAGTCTTTGTGCTTCCTTCGGGTGGCATGGCAGCAAGGCGCCAAGAGTTCCACAGCTGAATGGTATGAAAACTAATGACGTAAAATGGTTCACCTTTTGCTAATGTAAAAGGTTGTCGAATGGGTAGCTTTTGAATGTTTTGAATCGCTCGCCGTGAGGAGGTCAGGAATACTCGTTGTTGACCCTGGTCAAACCGATAACATACAGTTATTAGTACGAATGATTAGAAGGACCTTCTTGATGCACATGTGGAGGGATCTTTCTTGTTCACGGAAGATATTGATTGAGTTTAAAGCCAATAGTTAAGCTGGCTATCTGAGTGTTCCGCAATATGAAAGATCACACAGATTTGTAACTGCTAGAAAAATGTGTTTGTGACAACTGACATAAAACACTACCTACCATATTTATACTTCACGAAATCTTGCGGGCTGCCGTCCACCAGGATTGTAACAGGCCCAAAAAGTCCAACCGCTTGTGTTAGAGCATCTTCATCATACAAAGGTAAGGCAACGGCCCCCCTGACCCTTACAGCCACTTTGTGTGCCTCCAGACGGCAGAATGGATTTGGTCGCAGTGTGCGGTCTGATACGTAAGGATAGTCAACTTCACGCTCGATGCCACCGCCACGTTGCACGTATATGAAGGCCAACTGTGCGTTACCACCGTTACATCCGCGATTACCAACCGTCAAGCTACAGTCAATCAGCTGTTGCGGTGACAGTGTGTAAAGCACTCTGCGGTGCAAAAAGTGGTGTGACTCCATTGCAGCAGCCGCGGCAAAGGCCCAGCATGAACCACACGACCCTTGAGCTCTGATTGGTGTGACGGCGCCATTGATACGCCAATCTCTCGACCTTGGTGGAACTGCTGAAATCTTCCGAAACACAGATACATACTCCGTGCTATTTGGAGAAACAGTTTCGCCACCACAAGCATGCCGCGTCTCCTCGTTGGTCTGTAAAATGTAACAGAATCATACATACAATAATGGCATACTAATTAACGTTACCCTATCAGCAAACTGATTGATTCCCAATTTGAACGATACTTCACCCTCTTCGTATGCCTTATTGTGTCTCCTTACGTAAAGGAAAGTTTCGCAAAATACGTTTAAGCGCTTCGAGCTTTCCTCTGCATCTGAGTAGACGCGGTCGAACTCATGTTTGAACTGTTCCCAAGCAATATGAATGGTATAGTTCAAGTGTTCACCCAAAGATTCGATACACCGAAGTTTGTTGCTGTTTGCTTCAAGCTCCATCTTAGTGGTTGCCTTGAGAAGCACGTCCCACTGATAGACATTTGCTAAATTGTTTACTATGAGGCAGGATGTAAGGCAGACAACGTGAACAAACGAAAACGCCATGAGTTTGAGCAGAAAACTGGCAACTTTTTCCCACCGATAATATATAAGTCGCCGCTTGAATGAACTTGGTTAGCCAATGGGGCAATGCCGCCCAAAATGGAGTTTTTAGAGGAACACATCAAGTTCGTCTCTTAGTCCACGATAAGAGGTACTGGCATGGAATGAACAGCAACTGAATTATCGGACACTACCATGAAGGTTGTACCTATTTCATTTTGGCAAGAATGAACATGGACTACCTAAATTACAGTCACACACACGTACACAAAAACGCGAACTGTGTATCTAACGACCAGGCAGAAAGTGTCTAACTCAAGGAAATCCCCTGCTCTGGAAAGAGGTCACACGAGCCATCCGAAAGTGCATCCACCGGTTACGGACCAAAGTCAGGACACTTTGAAATCGTTACCTGTCGATCGCTTGAGTTGATATTTAAAAGCTGAATGTAGTCGATACTGAACAGTTTCCAAAAGGATAACATGAATGAAGTAGAATCACGTTTCTATGCAAACCAGTAACCCTAGAAAATACGCACCAAGTCTATTGGTTCATTTGTGGCTATTTGTTATTTTGAGGTGAGTAGGTGGTTTGCAAATAGGCGAGCACCGTAACTAAAGGATTCGCTGAAGATAACCTTCAATGGACGATGATTACCACATATTCTCTACTTAATAATTCTATTCAGAAGTATTGAGCTATTCGTCCGTTCATTCAGGGACCCCGAAAGTCGTGCATGACAATCCTACAGCACCTTTTCGAAGTCCGAATTTTGCGGAAATAACCTGTATCATTTTCAAATCGCTTCACTCGAAGCGCTTATGATCTAAAAAAATGGTTTCCCCCTTACATGGGGACATTCTGAAGGGACCATCAATAAAATTTCTGCACTTACAGGATTATAGCTGTCTAAAAAATATAAAGACACCAAATAGTGGTATTTTCGGAGCAACGGGCTCTACTGCGGGTGATCTTCCAACAGAATGCAGTATCTAGCGATTGTTTGAGTATTTACCAAGCTCACCCACTTGCAAATGATAACATTTGTTCGAACTATTCGGCATTATGAACAACATTCTGGCTCGCGGATCAATCACATAGGCTGTCTGATTTTACAGCTTCCATGATATAACTATAAATTCTGTCTCTGGAAAGCCCGCCTGCGTGTGAGCCACCCAGAAATGCTTGACCTTTTTTCCGTCACCAACAGAAGCATCTACATGTCACCCCCGAGTCGCATCCACAGAAAGTGCACATGTTGCGACCCGTGCGTATGCACTGAAACGGTCGACCGCCGCTACCCAGTTTCAATCAGCTAAATATAAAATTTCCATCTTTCACATTAAAATTAGCTGTCGATTACCGGCAGGATTGCACAAGGAGTTTTTCTGAACTTCGCACGGCTCCGGGAAACTTGTAACAAAGTTTCTTGAGTATGACTTGGAAAAAAATGAGATACTCCGTCCTATTTCACTATGGTTGAAATTGATCACTGTTCAGTGGTTGAAAATATATCAGTCCACGTTTGCTCATGTGGGCACGACACTGAAGTACCTGTGACACTTACATTTGTAAAATGCGGATGTCTACCTAACTTGGGACCTTATTTCACTATGAAGCACTGTTCAAATAGAGGTAGGAGAAAGGAAAATCACTTACGAGGAGCTGTACCAGGTAAAAATTAACGGGCAAAATTGGTGTGCAGGCGATATCACAAAATGGAGAGTGGAGGAACGGTTGTGATAACCGTTCATTCAAATACGACCGACATTCCCATGGATTTTCCGGTTAACCGTTCAGTGTTTTCAGTTTACGAAAAAATAAAGAGGAAAGTGAACGGCAGAAATAAACCGCACATTCTAAGACGAGGCTTTAAAGATAATTCGTAGCTAAAGATTGACTTCGTCAAAAATGGTCTTCATACGGTGGGAATTCTAGAGCTGTTGGTTTCTAAATGAATGACCATTGAAGGCTAAGTCCCATAAGAACACCACTACAAGCAGAGATGTATTTTAGGACATACTCTCCATTCTTGGGGAAAATCTTTATGCAACTGACAACAATCTGGATTGATCAGTTGAAGCTTTCAGCGTAGAACTGTCAGTTCTAAATGGTACTGTTTCAAGGAAGCCGCTCTTATGGTCCCTCCCTCGGAAAAGTTGTCCGGGTGCGGAATAATTCCAGTCACAAATCGTTAATCAGGTTGCAGTTACGCTACTCACGGAGCTTGGCAACTTTTTTGAAAACATTTCGCCACCATTTGATAAGACGTCAGTTTGCGGTTGGTTGGGTAGCTTTTATCTTTTGGCTTGCGTATAATAATATATATAAGAATATATATATCTGACGCTACTGGCGCGACTTCCTGCTTGAAAGCTATTTCTCTTGTGGCCCGATTGGCTCGCGGGTAATCAGTTTTGAGCACTAGATAGCATCCTCTGTGTTCATCTTTTCCTCTTCCTAATTAAGTCCCCTGTTATCTGTGTTACGTTGCGGTCCATTTTTACGTTTGTTGAATAGTCGTTTGTCACCGTTAGCTGACACTGGTTTGTGTACTTTGATATGAGTTCCTCGTTGATCATTTCTGGTGTGCTTTTTTGCTCCTGAGTGGTGGGTTTGCCCAATTTTCTTCTTGCCAGGCACCCATCGTTGACCTGCTTTTTGGTTTGTTGGTCCACGTTCTCCGTGTTGCTGGGAGTTTCACCTTCTACTTCATTTGGTTTGTTCTTCGGTTTTGGACCTGGTGGTTCCTTCTTTGTTTCTCCGTGTGGTGTGGTGTGTGATAATTCAGAAGCCATTTTGTCCTCAGTTGTTGGTAGACGTGCCTGATCCCAATGTGCATGTTCATTACTTTATCGATAGAGTAACGCGTTTCCATGAATTATCTCACTTTCTTCTTGTTTGATGCGGTTTGTTGGCAGTGTATTGTTGTCTTTCCCGGCCTTTGTGTTTGGGAAAGAGTGAAAACTGATTGTTTGTGCTAATCGCTAGCTTGTGCTCGATGATTCTGTTTGCCTGGCCCTTTCCCCATTGTTCCACATAGTGTTTGTCAGTCTATGCGTTGAAGTTTGTGGATAACTTCAATCTTTGCAGTTGTAGGCGGTTTGACTTCGCTGTTGCCTTACATCCTAGTAACTTTCGGTGGATTTCAGTGTCACCTCTAGACTTGTCAGGTAATCTGGGTTTGTGACATCTTTGAAATCGAAGTTTTCTTCTAGTGAGGATGATCTCTTCTTCCGCCGGCTGTTTACTAGAAACACTCTTGCTTACCAAAAATGGTCCGAGGACCATTCAAACAAAACAAAAGTGGATCACAACATCCGAACCACCATACTACAGTTAGACTGATCAGAGCGAGGAAAAGATGGATATGGAGGACGGTATTTAGTAGAAAAGGACATACTACAGCGCCGCACAGGTCGCGAACCAACTAGCAAGATAAGTTTCAAGCAGACAGAAATTTAGAATGATAAGACGCCCGTAAAAACGATATAAATGCAGGCAAATGGATTTTTGTAAAACCGCGAATCCTTGAATGGATTTCACGTTTAGGACATGACCAAAAACACTTACCTTATTCATGATTGCCTTCAAATGAATTCAACCCAGTAGTTATACTTACTGAGTTTGACGGAGAGATTTGGGTGAAAAACGAAACGTAAACGGGCAGTGAAATGAAAATAACTCCTGTGGTATGATTTATTTATTTATTATCAGAGCTAGTGACGTTTTCTGGTCAGTTCTCATTGATTTTATGGGCTAATGACTGCATAATTTTGAATCAGGTTAGAAAGGTCCGAAATAAGCATATGAAAGCGATGAGCCAATAAGTAAACACGGACTGACTCTGTTGACGAGAAGTGAAGTCAGTGAATTCCCAACTCGTATGCATAATGCTACACAGCGGGCAGTAAGTCAGCCGTGGCCCAACGGAGCTAGATGGTAAGGTCTGTTGTGCTCCGCAAACAAGAACAAATTTTGTTCGTATTTCAGAAACTTCTCAAAACTTGATACCTTTTTGAACTGCAGATATTTAAGATGTGCACCTGCGAATACTTTCTAGAACGTTAACTCCGTGATCCGGAACAGTGAACACGCACTCTTCGACGTGCGTCGATGCGCACTGTCCGCTGCACATCTGTACTTTCAAAGACGAAATTCCAATACGGCAGGTGATACACCGGGTTAACAGATGTGCCCGGCACTTCGTGACAGCTGATTTAGTATGAAAAGTGCATTTCCAGGACATTGGCGTTGGTTGTTCTAATTGCCAACAACTGTTCTCTGGTTATGCGGACATGCACGCTATCACAGCTCTCTATACCATCATAGTAAGAAGACTCTACGCACCTCTTAGTATTTAGCATAATACGTCTCATTAAAGTGGGTTTACTTCTCGTATTTTGCAGATAGCGTCAAGAGTTCAGTGAGGCGTTCCACCTTGAGACTTCTGTCAGTCAAATACCCGGTTGTTTACCGAGAATGAGGTTATAGGGCATCGGCCTCAACGCTCACAATATTGTAGACCTCTCCGGTTGCCAAATCTACGCTAAACTATGCGAAAACCCCTCCTTATTACACACTTCCATCACTGGGAACACCTGCAGGGAACACCAACTAACCTATTACTCCGCGATGTTGTTGATTTCAATGCTCAGATAAAAATATTATACTCAAAAAATGCTAACCGACTCTCCTCAGTTGATCAGGCCAATGTTTTTTCTCATTTTTTTCGAAAATAATTCGGTCAAGTTACCCAGGTTTTCTGCTTGAGTTATCATCGCTTCATGGAACACCAAGGGACTATGAATTTCTCATTTCCACCTGGTCAGTCGGACAGTTTCATGTGTTCGCCATTCGCATCATCGGCCAAATATTATTTTGACTTTCTCATCATTCAAACGCTTAGCAACACATGAAATACAGTCCTTTGTCTCTGAATCTGAGGTTTATTTACCCTACTGCTATGGAAAAAGTTGAAAATGAACGATTGTTTACTGGGTCTTTGCTTAATTCTGCCGACCAGAATTCAGTTCGTTCGCCTTATCCAGCGATGAGGGCAACATCATAGAGGATTATGCATCCTATGTTTTATTTCAAACTGCGCGTTCCCCACTTGATTACTGCAACCGTCTTATGGCACTAAAAAATCGCTTCGTACTAAGTTGTTTTGATGAGAAATATTGCCTTGTTTATAGTGCTTTATTTTATTGGTGATTCAGCTCTTCAGGAGTGGGATTCTGCTTTAGCAAGTGGCTAGCATCATGTGGTACTTGACAAATAACATATATTTCTCAGGTAGTTATGAAGATCTGACCAAAATTTCGAAAGTTTGTGGAGGCAAAGCAATTTAGAGCCATTCAAATCCTCCACGGTCTTGCTTGTAATGTGGTACAGCTATTGACGAACGACATTTAAACGGCTGATTTGACGAGGACCAGACGTTCAGAGATCAAAAAAACTCGCAGCCATCAGTTGCGGAGATTCCTGTTAACCCCGGAAATAAAAAGAACAAGGTGTAATTAGCAAGCAGTATTCCATGAAACCATATTATCTCTGTAGAATCCAATGCCCGGACCGTTGAAGAGCATCAGTTCATAGAACGTAGTTAAGACGAAACCTACCACTTGGTAAGACACATTGATACGAAGACAAATGGATGCGGGTTAGTTACTAAATGTCCAAGTAAACTAAGACAGGTAGATGCAGTCAGTTCTCTACAACCTCAGTTACGCGATCCACGGCGTTGTTGTTGAAATGAACCAGGTAGATGCGGATGAAGTGAGCTCGGAGTTCATGGGTCAACAGTCGAAACAATCACAGTCAAACAATCACACATTCGCCCACCGGGAAGCCAGGTTTGGAATTGTGAATTGTGGATTGTGCGGCCGATTAAGCATTTTGACCTATGACAAACACATGTTGTGCAATAGGAGAGGTTGAGTTTCTATTGTGGTCCAGTTCATCGAGCTGTCCCATTAAATATTCTTCCGCAGACGCATTCTGACAAATTTTCATATCCACATTTTTCTTCGTTGTGCGTTAGCCCAAGTAGAGTTGGGCCAGTGAACGAATTGGGAAGTATTCGTTTATGAGTTATACGTTAACTATCTGTATCTGATTCCTCCGTTTGTTGAAAGCAACCAGGACTACCCAAATGCTGATTCCTCAACATAATTCATTGAATCCTTGTGACAACGTTATTCAATTTACCAAGTTACGACTCAAGGGAGATCGTTTTTTCGATAAGGGTTTTACATTGGTTTACATCTTTCAAAGTTGTCAAAGTCATTCGGACGGCATCCGTTTTTTATTATTCCACATCCGTGATGGGAAATTTTGAACTGCATGGGCCCATAGTTTGTTTGTGTAGGGCTGAATCGTTTACATTGCTCCGATAGAAAACTCCGCCCACGGAACAGTCTGAATACTTTCAAAACCTTAGATCGGATTCGTTCATATCCATTTTGTAAATCTGTAGAAAAAACAGAGTACGGGTATCATTCTAAAGGCTTTTAATTCTTCCAGACACAGTAAAAGTCCTAACTGATAGCGCGAATTTCCAGAACACATTTCTAGCCGTTTCGTCAACCAAGTTTCTTTATCTTCATACAGATGTAAATATATAATTTCAATATGAAACGGTTGTTTACAGGGCATCACGTGAGTCTACCCATAAACTGAATACGGGAACCTGTTTGAGTAGATCAATGAATAGCTGATCATACAAGTAATGTATGATCTGAGTGCAGTAAAGGTCATTCTGGTTCATACCAGTGTCACAAAGAGATAATTACCGCGTCATAGACCGTGAGGGAACTTATTCAGGTGGGATGTAAGAATCTGCAATACTGGGAATCTGCGTCAAGTACTGCGGAGATCTAACCCAAAGGCCGGTGGATATCCAAGTACCATGTACACCCGAAAGCCAGTGAGTTGACCCATTCAGCCCTGCACTGACGATGTCACCTCGACTGGTGATGAAACGTTTGCAACCCAACTGCCAAGCTCGGCGAACAGACAAAGAACCAAGTTACTTCCTTATTTTCTCATTCGGAAACAAAATTATTGCTGCCGAGTACAGCGCTTGTTTCAGTGACATCTAATCCTGACTCAGATAAAAATATTTCTAAGGCGTATGCCTTTTGTCAGCCTGCCTTTCGGTAAAGCTATATGAGACTGTTCAACTTATTGTTCGCTGAATGGTGTGTTTCGTGGGTTTACACCGCCTTGAAAGCACAATATCTAGCGATGTTAGGCTTGGAAGCGACATGAATGAAGGGACATCAAAGGCCAGCAAGGCATTCGGCTTGCTTGAGAGGAGCATCTGGAGTGATCATCATTTGTACGTATACACTAAGACTGTAATGTATCTGGTTGTCGTTTGTCTGCATTGGTTCTAATGGTGAACACTTGCACTATGTACTTGATGCGTGGAAAAATCTTACAAACTTCGCCTCCATTTTCTTTACTATGCCTTTAGGATAAAACTGTCGAAACGTATCCAGAATGCCAAAGTTCGCCGACGAAAGAGACCATTTTGAAGCTAAAATTAAACTTGCGCAAATCCGCTTCAGTTTATTAGACTACTGAAGAGCGATTTGGAGACAAGTGGCTGAAAGTTGCACCTGAAAGAAAATTACTTTCGAGTGGTGAAATGATAGAGCTAGAAAATGGTTATTCCTAAAGTTTCGCCGGCATGTAAGTGGAACTGTAAATTGAACTGTGACTTGTAGTCCTGAATCTCGACAGTTATCCAGCGTATCATCCTTTCCACATGCCACAGGTAATTTTGTTCCATTCTCTACAGGATAAACTGATATTCTAATTGGGACTATTAATAACCACATATTCGATGGACTACTGCCGTTATAAGTGTGGTGATTTGCCGGTGATAGGTCCTCAGGAACATTTGTGGGAGGCGTGGCTGTGCGCCTAGACGTACATGGATTGAGGAATAATGTTGGGATATTAAGATTATCCTACCATCATTTCTGGCTGGCCAACGGTCTAAATGCATAGGGTTTCTGCATTTTCGCCCACTGACCTGATTCTTGCTGGCTTATGACTGTGCCAAGAAACTGTCCCAATTTCGGTGCAGAAGGTTCCTGTAGCTTTCTGGTAGCTAAGACAGTCTTGATCGGCACATTCCATTCTAGTCGCTCACATTGTTAAAGGCAGGTAAAGGAGCACATTTCAACTGAGAGACTAATGCCGTTCGGTGAGGGAGAACCACTTATTTCAAAAAGAAGTGGCATGGCCACAAGAAACTCTACATTCGAACAAAAATTAGTTCTCGACCCGTACCGAAGTCCAGCGGATGAGTAGTATCCGGAATAGTCGAACGATACTCACAAACCAAAATACGACTTTTCAGAGAATACCAGGAGCTTGGGAATAACACGACGCACATTTGAACTAATGGACGTAACGAGTGGTAGTACACAACGAGTAGTACTTCATCTTATACTCAAAGCAGTTTGTCGTTGACCTTGTTGACCAATGGCTATAAACGTCTGACCCGGCAGGTAGTCTTCTCGTCACAATATTAAAGAAATCATACAGTTACATCAACCCGATATTAACAGTCTCGCTACTCGACAGAGTCTATATTGTTGCACATCATATTATTATGTTGTTGGACTGTATGCACAACTGTGTGTATACATACAAATGCGCGGGGTGATAAGATGTATAAATCATGCATTACGGTTTCGGCGACCCATATCCCGGCCACCAAGTAACATCTTCATATTGGCAGCCTTAGACTTTCCTAAACTAAAAATATTATTCAAACTCCGACCGTTCCAACTTCCACTCCCAAAGCAAATTATTTTTTTGGGAATTTTCGCGATGACCATCTCTACGAGCTGGGTTGTGCAGGTTGCTCTATTTTTTTCATGTTTCACACTTCGTACTCATAAAGTTAAGTGATAATTTGCGTCATCTAGTAATTCTTCCTCCAACTTTCTGTGGTTCGTGTGTCATTATATGCATTTGAATTACGGTGGAACGTTAAATCCACATCACTTTCATCCGGTCAAAATGACAGATACAGCCTGTTTGCTCATGTCACACTTTGGACGGACAGACTTTTCTGACGATTCTTCCAACGGGCTTGTTAGTAAAACGCCCAAGTGGCTCCGTGGGTTTGTGTGTGAACACACGTACCACACTCATATCATGTAGACCCGAATACAAAATGGTATATTACTGTGCGAAGAAGCACTAAGTAGCGTGTAAATTGACCAGCAGTTGAAGAAAAGTTACAAGTTTGAAGCATTTAGTACCGTTAGCCAGGTTAACTCGAATGGCACCCACACGTCGCTGCTATTGGTTCACATATCACTGTATTAATCGTATTGATTGAGACCGATAGCTATTTATGCACGCGCACACATGTTTCCACTTGGAGTTGACACAATGTTATTTGGTCTAAGCAGCCTTGTTTATATCTGCGGACTGTTCACAGTCAGTGCCTCTCCCGAACTCTACGACTGGGATGTGCTCCTCCTATCCAACAACAAGAGTGATCTCGTTCAGAAAGTGTCACCGGATCACTGTATGGAACTGCTCAATGAAGACATGCAGTATATCGTAACCGTGGCTTGGGAGCAATTTAAGAGGGAATTCAATAAAACTTATGCGGATAATCAAGAGCATGATAAACGATTCAAGTTATTTTGCCAAAGATTTATGGCTGTGAGGGAACATAACAAGGCTTATCGTGAAGGCAAGGTCACGTTTGAGAAAGGAATCAATCCATTCAGTGACCAGGTATGGAGTTTACTGCTATTTGTTCAATTAATGCATTGTTTCTTTCTTGCCAGACGATTGAAGAAATTAGTTTGAAGTGTTGTGGGATTCCGAGCCACAACTTAACCACAGTACGGGGGTTCAAATACAGAAAACTGGGTGTTGAGTTGCCAGCGCACGTGGATTGGAGGGAGCGAGGCGCAGTGACTAGGGTACGATCTCAAGGAACCTGTGGATCTTGTTGGGCATTCTCTGTCACTGCAGCCATCGAAGGGCATGATTTCCTCCACTCTAATGTCCTGAAAAGATTGTCACCGCAGCAACTGGTTGACTGTTCGACTGCTTACGGCACAAAAGGTTGCTGGGGTGGACATCCACCGGATGCTTACAGATATGTAACAGATGCCGGGGGTGTGGAGCTCGATTCTGATTACCCCTACGTCGCTGAACAACAGAAGTGTCGGTTCGATAGAAACAAAGTAGTCACAAGAATCACCGGATTCGTGGAAATTCCAAATGACGAAAAGATTCTCCAGGAAGCGGTTGCACTATATGGACCCATTGCCGTTGCTATAGACGCGCTCCATCATAGTTGGGTGGACTACACAAAAGGTGAGTAGATTAGCTCTGGTGTATTTCCACTGCACCACTGTTTTTCCACATACGCACATGGTTTTGATATCACGGTCCTCAGTGCTTACAACACAGCCATGTGATCTGCTACAATTGAAACAGCGCACCATTTCCCATTTTTGCAGGTTCATGAACCTAGTTGTATTCCCTTTTATGTTAAGTAGACGCGGTAGGTTGCAAACTAACAAGGCGAATTCTGTGGACAGATGTTAGTCTGAAAAATTATCCAGGAGCGAAAATCGGACCCCTTTTTCATCACTGATATTTACTTTGAGGAACAGTGATTAGAAAGATGTATTCAGCTTTCCGTTCAATTTTCGGGTACTTGTCCAGGAAAACGTTTGAAACACGGCCATTGATGTCCTTCTAGCTTTCTGAAACCTATGTAGGAATCACAATGTCCTGTTTGCCAGATTAAAAATAGGTTCAGTCTCGCTTACTCTTTCTGGTATATCTGCCCTTTTACACTGATGTAAGAACGTTGATTTGAGAACCCGAATTATCGGAAGACTATTTGTTGGGATCTAGGGAGCCGGAGTGGCCCACTGAGAAACTGGGACACATCTTCGGAACGTCCTGTGAGAACAATGTCCCAAGCGTCTTCAAATCAGAGGGCCACTGTACGAAAAGTATGTTGTAATACGCTAACCAGTGCAAAATAGTGATGAAGACATTTCAGAGGGCGCGAAGTTGACTAGAGTGTTTACTTGATGTCCGCAAGAAAAACCTCAGAACACATGATAAATGAATACTGGATGTCCGTTTTGTAAAACACCGTTGCGTACCAAACATCTTTAGTAATAAAATCCTATAATGACTTTCAAGGACACAGTGGACTTGATTTATCCTTATTCGTTGCGTCTTAGCTTCCTCTCTTCATATTTGAAAAAAAACACATGAAGAGCAGTCTAATAAAATAGTCAATGCGGCTAATGAGAATTCGGCTGGAGACATGCCGGCTGGAATAGCTGAATTGGTAGAGGAAGCAATGAGTGGTAATCCTTATCCCACTCACCCGGACAAAGCGTTACTTTCACGCACACGAGTAGTAACAGAAAGCTACCCTTAGATCTGCGAACTCAGAAGCAGCCTGTCTAATACATTATTTTACCACCGAATCCAGCGATGATTTTGATGGAATACTCGGCTTGCGATAATTTCTTCCCAATGACTCAGATTGATACAGATTACTATTCGGTTCGCTTCTGTGGGGCAGACTCTGAAGAGCAGAATAATAAATAATGATGCATTCAGTCATCGGAGATTGCAATGTTCAGTTCATGAACAACGCAAAAAGTGGACGATGAATAGACCAAAAACCTGATGAAATACGGACTGATTAAATGAAGCTTCGATAAATTGGAATTTGGAGACTTCAGGACCGATGAAAGAATTTGATGGAAGAAATTTCGATGAAATGATCGGGGCTGGGAAGATTCCTGAGAACTGTATGTGATTACTAGTTTATTGTCAACCCGTGTACCCATCCATGCAGGTGCCCACCGGGTTTTGTTGCACGAGGGTCGATTTTCGTGGAGTACCGCTTAGTCAAACAGTTTGGATATGTATACAGGCCAAGTCCCGAAAATCCTTTTTTTATTAGTACTACAACTTTTCACAAGGATTTTAATTGAGTGATCACGAAATGCAGTGGTCATAAACCGTGTCGAACTGTAAAATTTCAAGTCTCCACAGGTGGCTATATACCTATGATGGATGCCCGACTACTGGGAGCAGTTGTGCACCCATACAATAGCCAGCTGCCTCAGTACAAACAGGTTCAGTGAAAGATGACAAGGTAATCATACGCATGCTTGGTACTTTTGTAGGAACCGGCAGTCTTGCAGTGAAAACCGTATCTCTAATGCAGGCATCAACATTGACTTCTTGGCTGAACTGTGCCTAGCCGTTGCAAAACATTCTTAGGTACCCCGTCATCCCCCCGATATCCTCATTCACGGTAGTGTGGCTTAGTTTTCTCGTCATAAATTTTATCGTTCTTTGACAGTTCACAGTCTGAGGTATTCCTCCGAGAAAAAACGTGTCAGTTAGATGGACAACCGAACGGAAAACGAATTACATATAAACCATAGAGTACAATGAACTAATCCATTCTCCCTTAAACATCCATGATGCGCTGTAGCAATATCCGTTCAATATCCCTGTCAAGGGAGAATAGGGTATCTTGGAAAAATACACAACGAAAAACGTCTACTCATTTGATATATTCTAAAGATTATATTTGGCACACGCTTCTGCAAACGGTCTGTCACAGTTCAGTTTAATACCGGCCTGGTTCATCAGGCATTGACCGACAACAGACCACCAGCGGTATTATTTGCTCGCTGATTTTATCGGCTACAGAATAAATAAAGTTTCTACAACTTGGAATATTTTCAGTGTAGTACACAACGTTAAAACCTTGATTACTTGACATGGCCTATATACTTCTACTGGTCTCAGCAAGATATAACATGTCTCTAACCCAGTCCCGTTAGGCGAAATTTCGATGGTCCAGAAAAGCATTGATCAGGCTAGAAAATATTTATCAATTCGTAGGTACCTGTGTGTTCTTTTTTATAATGCTGGTCGCGTTTCGCGAATTTCGTCATTAAGATTTCCGTGGCAGTAGAACTAGAACAAAGATCTTCATTCCATCTCCATAGACACTTTTCAATTATTTTGCGTCGACTGTGAAGTTGCATAGCGACCCATTCTCAACAAATTTTGTCATAGTGCGGGCTACACTGGTTTACATGGCGGCAAACTGTGATTAGTTTTTTTATCCAGACTCACCCTTATATACAATGTTACGCATGCTGTTAGCTTGCTAGCGGTTCCTCTTTCATCTGAAATGAAGGTATAGGATGACGCAATCCCTTCTTTTTTTCCTTCGTACTCGTTAAGCCGAATGTAGTCATAATTTTGAACTCGCTTTAGATTAACTGATCTAGTGACATTACTTGAACCGGTTGACCATGGCTTTCCTGACTAAAGTAAGATACTTGTCCACGCTCTTAGTCACAGTACGCCGGACAAAATAAACCCGAAATTCACAGCCACTTATGAAAGTAACCGCCAACTAACAAGTCCAACCAAAGATCCTCATGCGATCTTCGTATTCTTCACTACAAGCCTTCCACGAACGAGAACAAACATCACTTGTTAAGGAAGGAAGGCCATCGTGGCCTTGAAACTTGTAAGCACCAGTCACAGTGTTGAGCCATATTGAACGAAATTTGATTTTCAGGTGTTCCAACACGGCTGTTCATAAATTTCGGGTCACACACATTAACCGTACATCTATGTATCCCTTTCTTACTTCAGGAGTCATCTCAGAACCAAAATGCAAGAACGCCAGATATGATACAAACCACGCTATTTTGCTCATTGGTTATGGAACCGACGAAGACGGGACACCCTACTGGCTTATCAAGAACAGCCAGGGTACTTGGTGGGGAGAGCAAGGGTACGGTCGTATTATTCGCAACGCCAATAATATGTGTGGGATCGCCTCATATGCAAATTACCCTGTAATATAATGCGCACCTTGGTGATTGCTTAACTCTGATGGACCGCAAACTGATTCATCACGGTATGCATAGAGGGACTTCATTCCGTTTTCCCAAAAATGATTGTACGATTTATTATATTTCGAAGCTAGCTGCTGGGTGCGGTATATTCTTCTCTTTTTTTCTGGAGAAAATGCAGAATTGAAAGGCTGGTAAATTAATTTATCGAGTTCATATGCGAACAAATCTTCCCGTTCCTTTCCACAGTAGTCGTGCTAATAGCGTTGCTTCTATGTACATCGTCTCCCAAAATCCGAAAGAAAGCATTGCACTGGTGAAGATATTAGTTATGCTACTAAAGAATACCTAAGGAATAGAATCGTTAGCTGCGCCTTAGCTATGTAGATTAAGGTTTTGTTTGCGAGACGTCGAATAAAACAAAAGTGAGCAGAAAAGGCACACTCTACCACGATTCCCACTATCAAATGCGCTGGATGTCCCTGAGGTATACAAGATTCTCATAACTGGTGCATGCACTTGAGAACAACTCCATATAACCCAGGGACGAATTGAACAAAAGGTGAAGTAGCAAAGAAAAATTGCCCGACACTTTTAGTTCTTCCTCACAGAGTGATTCACCAGCATTGCGAAATTGTGGAAAAATGCTGAGATCTTAATGAACGCACGAGATTGCTGCACTTATTCTAATTTGGTCGCATCTTACTGGTTTCTTACCGGAAACACAAACTAACACCGAAAAATGCAAGTATGTTGGTTTCAAAAAGTTGCTAATTCAAGTAACTCTCGTGATGCGCCATGAGCCCCGTGAGATATCGACCAAAATTAGACTTACTAATTATCGATTCAGACCAGAACAGTTACTTTGGGGACAGCAATAACGATTTGGGGATTTACAGACTGATCCCGAGACATTTATATGAACTGGTACACAAAACGCCTCAGTGAGTCTTGGTTACTGAATGAAGCAGAGGAAATGTAACCATTAGTCTGAAAGACTTCGTAGCTTTAAACATCATGTAATTCACCAAGGTTACATTTGTGGTTGAACTCACAAATCAGGAAGAATTTCTTGGTAGGTAATTGGATTTATTATCCAAAGGGAATATGGTGGCTATAATTTAAGCTGGTTTTGTAACTGTCAGCTAACCAGGTGCTCATTATCTAAAGCAGTACTGTAGTCAACCATTTGGTGAAAGCTTCAGATAATTGACTTCACCGCTAGAATGTGACGCAATATTGCAAAAATGTGAAACCCAACAATGTAGGTGCATGCTTCCTTATCTCATCGGCCAGGAGATTATTTCCGTGAATACGAATAAGATGGCACTTTTCCCTCGATCCGATGGGTAGCGTCAACTGTAGGATATGAAGCTCTACCATTTTGAACTTGTGGCGTTCACTGGGATTAGAGAAAACGGGACTAATCGATGCGGTTATCTTCGGACAGTATTAGTGAATGAGGCATCGTCCTGTCTCAAAACAGTGCACAAGCCGATTTCAATAAAAAAACTCCTGCAAGTTACAACATGAACTGACCAACATGGGCCTCGTTCTACGACGGAGAATACACTGCAGAATCCCACAACTCTAGTATTGCTCCCTTGATGGAAGCATTCCCTCCTGGTTGGGTCAGCTAATGGAGATTGTACCATGCATATATACATATACATATATGCTTCAACGGAAAAGACTCCGAATGGTCTATTGCAGTTGTTATACGCAGACGATTAGGATTGGAAGCTCATTTGATATCAAAAATGTCAGCCAACTGACGCCAGTGTTTTGCGGAACATTTAAACGAAAAATCCAGATGAACCCTTCACTTCATTCAGAGAAGCCATTACGCGGTCCCGGCTTAACAAATCCGCATCTGTAGTGGTGCGTAAATTGAGTCTGACTGAAGTTAGAATACCTGTTTAGGGTGCATAGATTACAAAATCAACTCTGCACCATAGCATTCAATCTTCGCTTGGTACTATATTTGCTTATGTCATACAATTTGCTGTCATGTTTTCAAATGCGTGAAATCCTCTGGTCTTGTGTCTAAGATCAATGAAATCGACTAAACTGTTTTCACCTTCCTCCATGTGCTCCTGTTATGTTATTGAAGAAATCAAATTAAATTCGGGAACGTTCACTGGTTGACTAGGAGGTCGACAAACATCTCAGAATGAATCACCGCGACTTCTGCTATGGATAATCTTTGGGTGGATATAGTTAGCAACAAAGTCGTTGACAAGAGTTGGGAGACTGGTGACAATTCCCCTGTAACTAAGACAGAAACCGAACTCCAATTTTCAGACACCCACCTCAACAGCCCTATCCCTTTCCAGCAAAAAGTGTTTCTTTGATAACGTCCTTTAAAATAATAGTTTTATTGTTTGAACTATGCATCCTAATATGCTTGATATGACAAACCATTCACAAGCTGGGTCACACAACACGTTGCATGCAGTGGCGTCGAACTGAAGCATTATGTTACCGACAAGGGCCAACTAACCCCAGGTCATATTTGTTTCTCACGTTCACATCAATCTTATTTGAAGAGGGGGCGAGATGGCCCGATTGGTAAGAGCGCGAATTTACTAACTGGAAGTTCTGTGGTTCAAACCCGACCTCTGCCTCCCCACTTTCCCTGTCTAGGCTTGGGCAACCTGGCAGTATCCCATCCCTCGTGCAACCTTCGGGTGGCATAGCAGTTAGACACCAAGAAGGTGCTACAGCTGAACGATTTGTTTTGTTCGATCGGTCGTCCTCCTGTCCAGGCGCAATTATTCTGGCCAGTCCACCCAAAGGGAGGATGGACTCGATTTCCGCTCTTAATTGAGCTCATCAAAAGTGTATCATATCCATTGCTGTGCCGAGTTTTAACTTCTCACAGCCTACCTGTGAGGCAAGCGTTTTACAACTACTCCACCAGCGCACGCTGGACACATCTGAGTTTTCATTTCTGACCAGGCGAAGGTGTTCAAGCTGGACCAATGTGATTGCTTTTGCCTGCCGATTTACTTTTGAATGAACCTGTGGGTCCGTGGCATTAAATTCACTCTAGGCCCAGTTTGAACTTTAGTACAATCAGCTCAATGCACGTGAGTGTATTTTTATGGCTTATCATCGGAAGATTTCATTCCAAGGAATACTCCACATTGTTAGCGACATGTCCGCTGTGACATTAGTTAGTGATATACAATTAAGGGACACATGCCCAGACTGAGTCGTGCCACCCATAACGAATAGTCACGCGGCATTCTTATAGTCACAGCATCTTCACCAAAAAACTTTATAGTTTTGCTTTGATTGTCTACGCTATACTTGTGGTGTGTGTTATCCCCGTGACAAGCAACTGTTGAGGTGTTCAAATGGAACGAAGAACAACCTAGATGACGAATTAGCTTTCGAGTATCAAAAAATATTTCGAAGATCTGAAGCACAAATACACAGGGCACACACACAAGAACTGGACGGGAAGTGTTATATGGATCAGAGTGTTACAAAGTGATCATTTTCATGGATTGCGGAATCGACGCGCTACCAAATAGCCGGAAATCTGCGGATCACACCTTTCAGCGTCATCAATCACGCGCAGTAGGGATCACGCAGTCCTCATCCTGAAAGGCAAATCGCACCGACATCACCCGAATTTCATGAACCTGCCTGTACAGTTCCTTTTCCCGTTAGTTCTCGGGCAGATGTGCCTTTCACGATTTGCTGTCTATTAAATTATCCTTAATAACATACAGTTGAAGTCAAGCAAACCTTTTGCGTGGAATCATTTTTTGAGTCAAGATGACCAACGCACACTATGTACATGTATATATTGCGATCCAGACGTTGAAGGCCAGAGCACATTTCACCACTCTGCGGAATCCTCTGGGTAGATACAATATCACCTTGTCTACCAAAGATGGATTTTCCGATGCTGTATATCTTTCAATTTGGCTGGATGGGAAAGAAACCTCGATACTACAGGCTAATGGTATTAAAGTTAATAAAGGTATTAAAACATTCCCCTTGTTTGACTGGCGGTTGATTTAGATATTTGCTTGATTTTATTGAGAACATTAGAACTACGGGATGAAGTCCGTCGAGTAGATTTTGGTCGAAGCAACTTGCCTGCCAGAAATAAGCTAGTGAAACTGCATAGGTTACGCTGACCTGGTCACACGCATCGCATACCACTGGAGCGACTTCTCCACATGCAGTCATGCGAAGAATGGAGACGGGTGACGAAAGACCAAAATATGGCTTGGAGGTGAATTATGGAGGCCAAAACCAGTAAATTTGACTGCGTACTTAACTGCCGTTGCTGTGGGTGGTGTTGCCAGGAAGAACATCCCAAAAGTTGGAGAGAGGTTTGCCTTCTCATCCCAGTTCCGTTTGACCTCCATGTAATATCCATTCTGTCATTGCGATGGTGGTATAACAAGTCAATACGGCTTGGATGTTGATTGTTCTCTTTGAAGTGTTTTCAGCCTAAAATAATGATGCACACGCCCATATGTCCTCATGTTGATTATTGCATTTCATCTTCGCCTCCGGAAATCCAAAAACCGTGATTGACCACAATCTCCTTTTCAGCAGCATCTTCTTTGAGCTTAAATGTAATTAATCGTAGGGACCATATATTCAATTAAATGACCGTGAAATAAACTGCTGTGCGAATTATCACCATCTTGCTAGCACAGTGTCTACGAATTTAATGGTTGGCAGTGAAGTAGACACTTAGATTACAAAAGTCAGCACAACTGTTGACTGCCTTTAGAGGCACATCTAGATTACTTATCACTTTCGCATACATATAAGGAATGTAGAATGTAGTCTGCCGGGGGCCAGGCTATTTTTGCTACTCTGCAGTAGCGAAACCTGAGCGCTATAAAGACAATGTTTTCGGTTACTTGACCGATTTTACTTGTCATTTCTGCTCGATACCTTCCTGATCAAACGGGCAGACCGCGTACAGAACACTGAGGCACTCCGGAAGAAAAACACCATGGGGGTGACTTCAGTCT